TGAGTTTATGGTCTCATTTGGGCATCAGAAAAGATGTATAAAGAGATAATAAACATACCAGAGGGGAGGGGGGAGGAGGGAGTGAGAGGAAAATAAATAAAATGTTAAATAAACAAACAAACAAACAAATATTCGATTGCCCCATATGATTTAGAGCTCTTGAGTTTATGGTCTCATTTGGGCATCAGAAAAGATGTATAAAGAGATAATAAACATACCAGAGGGGAGGGAAGGGGAGGGAGTGGAAGGAAAATAAATAAAATGTTAAACAAACAAACAAACAAACAAACAAATATGTTTAAAAGAGAGAGAGAGATAATAAACAGAAAAGGGAGAGAAAAGAACCAATGTGCAATGCTCTCTGGGACTTGACAGATAGAAAGGGCTTCATGGAGAAGCTAGGGCTTGAGCTAAACACTGGACTTGGACGGTAAGAGAGAGAACGAGCCAGCCATGGAGGATGGCACAGGGAAAGGCGCAGAAGCAGTAACGTATGTATCATGTTGGGAAAAAAGAGTAGGTTAGTGGCTGGAATGGAGAGCTTGGGTAGAGGAGTGATGTGCGATGGACTGCCAGGCATCAGAGGGCAGGCAGGATAGCGCCTTGGCTAAAACTTGAGATTTTGTCCTGTGAGTAGTAGGAACCTCGATGGTGAAAACTTTAGTGTAGAGGAGGAATGGGGTGGAGGGAGGTGGTGGCGGGGAGACCAGCGAAAAGGCTGTTGCATTGGAGCAAAACTGAGATGATTTAGGGCAAGACAAGGAAGAGACAGAGATGGGAGAGACACAAGATATATGAAGGACAGATGGGTAGGAATTGGGGACCAACATGTGAGATGGGAGGAAGGAAGAGGAAGAGAAAGAAGAAGAGTACAAGCACCGAGGATGGCTTCCTCGTTCCAACGTGATTGACTGAAAGAACGAGAGAACGATCGGATTCCCGGTAGAATTTTTCTCCCTCTTTCTTAACCAGATTCCTTTCATTTTTTAATTTCAGTTGTCCTTGAAAGTAAAGAAAACCCCATCTCAGCTGTCCTTAAAGTGAATAAAGTAGGATTCTGATTTCCCTTGTGTATAAGGAAAACCTGAAGTCATGTGACTTATACAAGAATGTACAATGGGACAGATGCAGACTGGTCCCAGGACCTTCTAGATCTGATGATTCGCAATAAAATCCTAAACATCAGAGCCTAAGGGAAGCCCATAATTATTTAGTGGACCCACTTATCTTTACAGATAAGGAAACTGAGGCCTGCAAATGAAGAGTGACTTCCTCAAAGTCGCGTGGCCAGTGAGTAGCAAGCTAAGACTATCACCTGGCTTGCTGAGTCTTAATCTAGTGCTCCTTGCATTTCCAACTTGTTGCTTAGTGCTTTATCTGTGTGTGTACATGTGCACTCAGTGCTCGCTTGAGCAACAGGGAACATTTTCTTGGAATAATATTTTCTCCTTGGATTTACCACAAAGCATACCTCATCAGACTCCTCACATAATAGCAATAATAATTCAAGATTGACTTTCATTTAAACTCCTGAGTTTATTTGTGAATTATACGATAATTGACATATCTCCCTCTCTCGACCCTGACCATCTCTGGTTTTATTTCAGATCAAATTACCTTGGCTCATCTCTGAGATCTGTCACCTTTCCCAGCCCTATCCCTACATTACCTTGCCAAGGCAGGCAACAGATATGACACCTTTTTTCATTTGAAGCAAACTTATCAAAATTCATCATTTATAAGCTAATTGGGAAGAAAGAGGATTGGGAGTAGAAAAATGGGAAAACAAGAAGCACTTAATACTAGGTGCTCAGTGAATATCTAAGGAGAAGATAAAAGAAAGGAAGGAGAGACGGGGCACTGATGGAAAATGGGAGAGTGGCCTTGCTCCCCCCAGCCCCAAAAAAGATTTTTAATTAATGAAGAGAAGGAAGGGATAGTTCTTGGGAATTCCTCTGCTCATTTTATCAGGGTTGTTCCTAGGGAGGCGCTGAGCAAGACCCACCTTTCAGTTCTCAGCATTCTGTGGCCGATTGGAAAAACTCATTGACACTAGGTTTGCTGCTCAGAAACCGGATGTTATGACAATCTCAGAAACCACCAAACATCCAGTGACTCCTTCCGCCCTTACAAAATACTTAGAGAAGACAGCAGAGCCTCCTTCTATCTGCTGAGGATCCCAGAAAATTTTCTCTTCCACAAATCCCTCCTCACTTTGAAGGGTATTGCCCGGCAATGTTCCCATCCTTCCCAAGGTCCTGTACTGCACAGGGACATCATTCAGAGAAATTTTGTCATCTCCACACCCATCTGGAGGCCTGGATGGCTTATGCCAGAGCACCTCGTTTCCTCACTTATCTGGGTAGAATAAATGGATGAATCTCAGAGAGGGTAAATATTGGCATATGGAGCCATGGTGAGGACAAGAAGTTTATTTGTTTGGTGTTCTAGGAAACCAACAAGAGGAAATGCATTTAAGCCAGGAAAATAAAAACTAACCCGTCCAGCTATGAATGACAGCCACAACAATGGGAGATAGGTGACTATAGGCAGCTGAGGAAGGGACTGGCTAGGCTTCCAAGGAAGATGGCTCCTGAAATGGCAGGGATGGCTGGGAAGCCATGACCCAGGGTGAGAGCTACAATCATGTCATACAGAATGGTCACTTTGTCACTGACTGTGAGCGTCCCTTTGATCAGCCAAAGGTTTTGCATGCAACACGCAGAATTGTACTTCTAGAAGCAGGTAGAAGGGAAGTAACCATGTACGAGGTCTGCCTCAGTTATAAATTGTGAGGTGTACTGCCATGTGCCAGCGTGTTGTGGAGATGGTTCGGAAGAAGAGTCGGAGTCTGGAAATGTTTAACTTACATGGATAAGAGAGAGGAGGATTGGCAATGCTAGCATCCCCCACCCCTGTCTCCATAGCTGTTTATTAAGTTTCTCTACAATGCTGGCTTTGTAATTTATTAATAGTTACTATCAGGTTAGTAAATACAAGCTACAGTCAACTCCCAGATTCAGCTTCAAAGCCACCACCGTGTTCTCAGCTATTTTTTCTCAAGTATCTTTTTCTTATCCTCTAAAGTATCCTTTTCTAGTCCCTAGAGCAAGAAGTCTCGGAATCGGTTGGGTGTGTGCGCCCTCCCTGCAATGTGTCCTTATGTGCAAGTCCACATCTGCTTCTGATGTCCTTGTTGCTCCAAGCACCAGACATTTTGCTAGGAAAATTCTGAACCACAGGTGTTTCTTACAAACCAGTGATGGACTTTATCTTCATTGAGTACTTGCTGCTGCTGCTGCTGCTATTACTAAAATATCTTAGAATCTCTGTGCTGATATATGAGAACCTGTTGGCTTTTTTAGCTGTCTACTGGACTGTCTGTCTTCCAGTCTTCATTTCTTAGGCCAGTTTGCCATTCCCTAATAAGGAGACATCTAATCGTGTTGAATAAGTTTAACTAAACTGACATAAAAACATGTCAGCAAAGCTCCAAAAACACAGATAAAGGAAAGTTACATGTCCGGTGTGACTGCTTCCAGATATACTTTGTGCCAAGAACAAAAGAAAGACCATACTGATGTGGAGCTGACACTGTCTCATTCCTGCCCACTTCACAAAAGTTAAACCTGGGACACACCACATCTTGTCATAACATGATCAAGATCCAGGGACTATCAGATCTGCATTTTGCTGTTACCTTGACTCTAGTAACTCACTGTACAGTGCACATAGGAAAGCAATGTTATCTCATAGGTCTTCCAGAAGGAAGTTCACCTCGAAATCATTCAGAAGCAACAAGGTCAAGATCCATCATTAACCCATAGAACATGAAACCCAGAAGGGAGAGCCTTGAGAAGCATGCTCCAAAATTCAGGGAATTTTGGTCAGACAAAGAAAAACAAGGCTTGGCCAAGAAGTAGAAATATCTTTCAAAAAAAGCAAGAAGAGCCCAAAGTCCTTTACTTACCCTTCTCGGCCAGCTGCCTTCTTCTGAAACACCCAGCTCATTTGCCTGGATTTATCACAAGAGAAGCAGCTTTTAACTACATTCCATCAGCTGGAGAAAAAGGATATCACTTCTTGGAAGGTAAACCCAAGGGTTTGGTTTTTTGGTTGATGACTTTCTGACATTCCCTCAGAGAATTTTCAACCTGAAGTATAATTTCATAAAGAGGCTGATGTTTAAATTGTCTGTCTATACAATACACTTTAGTGAAATTTTGTTTTCTCTGAATCTTCCCGTTTCCTTTCACAATGGATCTAATGAACATGAAATTTCAAAGTTGGTAGGGGTGGTATATACCATTATGCTTGGGCTTTAAATCAGTAAGTTCCCAGATATTGGTGTTTCTTGAATGGACCATGCTATAGAAGGCATGAAGTCATAGAATCTGAGAAATCATCTAAACCAACCATCGATTTGGCAGCAAGAGAATAGGAGTCACCAGAAGGTGAAGTGACTTGCCTAGAGCCATACAGTGACAGAGGTAGAGACTTAACTCACTGCTCTGATGACAAGTCCTGGGCTCTTCTCACTTCTCTGGTGGCCAAAAAGTGGCAGTATTTTGAAATTTTGACGAAAAAACAAAAAGCCAATGTTTTTCGATCACTTTAAATCCAAAAGATGAATCTATTTGCTTTCACAATGGATTGGGTGAAAGACAAGGGAAGGAGGAACCAAAGGGCAGTGAATAAAAGAATAGGGAAGAGATACATTTATTTGTTCCCAATTTTAAGAGTGATTCAGATTCCCTTAGGGGCTTGAGACCGGTAGCCTGCTCGGACCTTGGAGATTTGCCTTTCATGATTGCATAAGGATCATGTACTTAACCTGGGAAAATGGGGAGAAGAGGGTCTGAGTCACCCAGAGTCAGTGATATTGTGTCAACCAATCTCTGCCATTCTGCAGTTTCCTTGTGTGTCTGCCTGGAGTCACAGGGCGTTTCCTGCT